CATAATGCACAGGGATATAAAAATTGGTAGTGCCATAAATGCACGTGGTAGTGATATAAATACACTCAAAACACACACACATACACACACTTAGGTTGAACTGGATGAACTGATACTTTATTCAACCTCACCAACTATGTAACCTTAGATACCTCTATTAGTATGAGGTGAATAAGAATTAGGAGCTGAGGGGTTAAATGGGGAAATATGATATATATGATGAAGTTACAGATATTAACAAAGTAGTATTACTTAATTTGCACTAAGGCACTATACAGTATTTTTGTATATAGGTATATTATGATGAATATATAATTTTTTTGGTGTTTTGTTAGGCACTGGGTTTATTATAAAGGAAATAGAGAATGGAGAGTATTACATTTATTTTGTTGGGTCAATGCATGTTTAGGCACTGAGATAATATCCTTTTAAGAGGGATCCCGTAAAAAATTTGTACAATATAAAAATGATATAAGGTACAATAATTTAAGGTATACTTTTCCATTCATGCTCTTATATTCGCATTTCACCTTTTTGAAAGATTCAGTGTTATATTGCCATTTGATGTCTTGTAATGGTTGTAATATTTATGTATAATTTACATAACGCCTTACATACAATCTAAGGTGTATATGGATGTGAAACCTTATATCACGTTTTAATGCCATTTGTTACATTTATAATGTTCTTAATTAAATTAAGAAAAAGGGAATAATATAAATAAATATATATATATACTATTTTTGCCAAAAGTATTGGGATGCCCGCCTTTACACACAATATTGAGTTGGACCACCCCTTGCAGCTATAACAGCTTCAACTCTTCTGGGAAGGCTGTCCACAAGGTTTAGGAGTATGTCTATGGGAATGTTTGACCATTCTTCCAGAAGCGCATTCTTGAGGTCAGGTACTGAGGCCGGACGAGAAGGCCTGGCTCGCAGTCTCAGCTCTAATTCATCCAAAAGGTGTTCTATTGAGTTGACTCTGTGTAGGCCAGTCAAGTTCCTTTATGGACCTTGCTTTGTGCAATGGTGTGCAGTCATGTTGGAATAGGAAGGATCTTCCCCAAACTGTTCCCACAAAGTTGAGAGCATGAAATTGTTCAAAATGTCTTGGTATGGTGACGCCTTGAGAGTTTCCTTCACTGGAACTAAGGGCCCAAGCCCAACCCCTGAAATACAGCCCCACATCATAATCTCCCCTCCACCAAATTTTACACTTGGCACAATGCAGTCAGGCAAGTACCTTTCTCCTGGCAACTGCCAAACCCAGACACGTCCCTTGGATTGCCAGACAGAGAAGCATGATTGGTCACTCTAGAGAACACGTCTCCACTGCTCTAGAGTCCAGTGGTGGCGTGCTTTACGCCACTGCATCTGACGCTTTGCATTGCATTTGGTGATGTAAGGCTTCAATGCAGCTTGCTGGCCATGGAAACACATTCCATAAAGCTCTCTACATACTATTGTTGTGATAATATGAAGGCCACAAAAGTTTGGAGGTCTTTAGCTATTGACTCTGCAGACAGTTGGCGATTTCTGTGCACTGTGCGCATCAGCATGTGCTGACCTCGTTCTGTCATTTTACATTGCCTACCACTTCATGGCTGAGTTGCTGTTGTTCTCAGTTGCTTCCACTTTGTTATAATATCACAACAGTTGACCGTGGAATATTTACTAACAAGGACATTTCACAGATGGACTTATTGCACAGGTGGCAACCTATCACGGTACCACACTTGAATTCACTGAGCTCCTGAGGGTGACCTATTCTATCACAAATGTTTGTGGAAGCAGTCTGCATGCTTAGGTGCTTGATTTTATATACCTGTGACCATGGAGGTGATTGGAACACCTGACTACAATGATCTCTTAGATTGTAAGCTCTAACAAGCAGGGCCCTCTTTCATTTTGTAAAGTGCTGCACAAACTGTTGGCACTATATAAATCCTGTATAATAATAATAATAATAATAATAATAATAATTAAATCCTTTATAATATTAATAGTTTGGAGGGGTGTCCCAATACTTTTGAAAATATACTATATATAGAGGAGTTGGGCAAAAATCGGGAAGCACTGCATGATTTGACAACATGTAACATTATTTTGCTTCTGTTGTATGATGAGACACCTAGCTAACAGGTGGGAAGCCTCTATTTTGTAATTTACTGTGTGCGCTGAGTCATGTCAGAGCTTACTAAGCTTCAAACAGAGCAAATTGTTGGTGCCTGCTTAGCTGGTGCCTCTGTTGAACTGAAGTTGCCAATTTCTTTGCGGTGTCGCGAGGTACAGTATCAAAGGTTATGACGGCATATACAGGAAAATGTTATCTGATAACCATAAGAGTGGTTGATGTGGCCAACTGACTGAAAGAGACAAAAGGACATTACACAGGATTGTGACCCAGAATAAGAAAAGAACTGCTGCAAAAGTGACTGCCGAGTTCAGCCTCATACTCCCAAAGCTTGTGAGGGAACTCCATAAGCAAAACTTTAACGGGCGAGCTGCAATTGCCAAACCACTAGTGCTTGATATTAATGCTCAGAAAAAGGAGAGAGTGGTGCAACACCAATAAATTGTGGACTGTCAATGTTTATTTGTGGTGAACATGGTCCCAAGCTTACGACCAGGACTCTCTTGAGCCAACAGTTAAGCATGGTGACCACACAATCATGGTTTGGGCAACCATATCTTGGTATTCTGCAGGCCCCATCATCACATTTTAAGGTAGAGTCACGCCAGTGGCTATGTACAAATTTTGACCGACCATGTGCCCCCGTAGTGCAGACATTGTTTCTCAAGGACAGCGCCATTTACCAAGACAATAATGCTCCAATTCACACAGCTGGTGTTGTCAAAATGTTTGACAAGCATGCAGACAAAATCTCGCACCTTCCCTTGGCGCCGCAGTCGCCAGACCTCAATATTATAGAGCCACTATGTTCAATTTTGGAGAACATGGTTTGGGCTAGTTTTCCATCTCCAGCATCTCTGCGAGAACTGGAATGTTTTTTAGCATGAAGAGTGGTATCATATTCTATTATCCATCCAACACTTAGATTTGTCAATTACCAAGAGAATTCAGACCATCTTGGATGTCAAATGCAGTCTAAAACCATATTATGTAACAATTTTGTTCTTTTACCTTGTGTTTCCATAATTTTGTCAAACCCCTGTACATATCACTTGGGTATACACATGCACTTTATATTATACGATTTCCCTGTTAGACTTGGCTGGGTAATTTTCTGGAAAGATCAAGTAATATTGGATTTGTCAACTCCCTCATAGTGGGACAGTCTAAGACTGTGATTGAGGTGGGCCCAGGTCTATGTCATGCTTTTTAATAGAGTTACGGAATCAATGTCACTAGCCCTTGGTGATGTCCCATCAGACATAAACATGTAGGGTGGAATTTAGCACAAAGACGTAACACGATACTTACTATCAGAGTTTTCTGTTGTACTTTTTTGTGTTTGGGAAAGTGCCTTCTCTATATGTGAGTCTCTACACTTTGGTAAGTTTCCATCTACAGTCTTTTGTAATGGTAGCATCTTCCCTTCAATAAAACCTCTAAGCCCCTACTTGTGATATCATTGATCTATAAGTTTGTATTGACCTTTTACATGTTGGGGTCAGTAGAACTGGTTAGTGGCATAGGTTTCCTTGCTCTTTTGGTGTGAACACTGCTGGAAGTAGAAGGCACAATTTCAGTCTGGGTGTTCTCACTCCTAGAACTGCAATTTGTCCAAGACTGTATATAAAGACTTCATACATGGTTCTTTTGCAGAGAATGAAAAAAGACTGTATACCAGCACGGACTGTTTGGATAATACATCATATACAGTACAATGGGTAAAGCGAAATTATTATTATTTTTTTTTTAAATCAATCAAGTTCCATGCTTTACTTCTGATTTAAACCAAAACAATCAGTAAAAAATCTCTTAATAAGTGTCCATGCATTGGTATTCTGTATGGTTGTATGTCTTCACAGATGCTTGAATAGCAAATAATGTCTTAGAACACCTCGTGCGATTATACACTGCAAACCAATGTGTGTATACCTCCACCGGATGTGCTCTCACCTGGTGTATATGACCAAACCGCTAAGTGAGGTCATATATAGCATGTATAACATGAGTGTCCTCCACTCTCCTTGCTGTCCTCCTTTTAGTTTTACTTGGTTGTTTACCATTAGTATCCATATCAGGGACACATGCTATATATTAAGAGATGTTTATGCTGATTGTTTTGGTTTAAATCAGAAGTGAAGCGCAGCACTTGATTGATATTTTGTTATATAACACATTTTGTATGGGAACATGAATGGTGTAAGCGATTCACAATTTTATTTTATATCAATATTATTTTTTCCATTTATTATTTTGTATCACTATTCGGCATAGCAGCTCAAAAGATTCTGCACTTTTGATGTGTTTTTCTTTAACCGCCTCCTGCCTGCTGTATAGGGAAATGACCGATGGGCAGAAGCTCTCTTGTTCTAGGAGGGTGCCATATGACGTCCTCCTACTCTAGCTATGCATGCTCTCCCCGGGGCAAGCAGCGAGGCAGTCAGTGGTTTGCTGTGTCCCTCAGACACAGCGGATCAACAATCATGGTAAAGAGCCAATGACGTAGGTTCTACCATGTGATCAGCTGTGTCCAGTCACAGCTGATCACATGTAAACAGGAAATGCCAGTTATCGGCAGTCCTCTCCTCACACTGACAACGCGTAAGGCATTCCTCAGGGGAGACATCTACACTAATAATCAGGGCACTGATCATCAGTGCCCCAATTATCACTGCAGCCCCATCAGTGCTGCCTTTCAGTGCCCGTCATTGCCGCCGATCAATGCCCATGAATGCCACATATCAATGCTCATCAATGCCACATATCAGTGTCCATCAGAACTGCCTTTCAGTGCCCTTTAGTGATGCCTGTCAATGCCCATCAGTGCTGCCTATCAGTGCCTCCTCATCAGTGCAGTATATCAGTACCCATCAGTGCCACCTATCAGTGCCAGTCAGTGCTGCCTATCAGTGCCCATCACTGATGTCTATCAGTGTCAATTAGTGCCACATATCAGTGCCAGTCAGTGCTGCCTATCAGTACCCATCAGTGCAGCATCAGTGCCCATCAGTGTCACATATCAGTGTCCATCAGTGCTGCCTTTCAGTGCCCATTAGTGATTCCTGTCAATGCCCATCAGTGCCACCTATCAGTGGCTTCTCATCAGTGCAGTCTATCAGTACCCATCAGTGCCAGTCAGTGCTGCCTATCAGTGCCCATCAGTGCAACCTATCAGTGCCACATATCAGTACCCATCAGTGCTGCCTTTAAGTGCCCATCAGTGATGCCTGTCAGTACCCATCAGTGCAGTCTATCAGTGCCATCTATCAGTGCTGATCACCCAGTGGTGATTACATACTACCAAAAGAAAGCTCTATCTGTCTCAAAAATTGATAAAAAATTTGGTTTGGGTACAGTGTTACATGACTGCGCAATTGTCATTCAAAGTGTGACAGTACTGAAAGCTGAAAATTGGCCTGGGCAGGGAGGGGGGTGAAAATGTCAAGTAGACAAGTGGTTAAAGGGTGCAATGGGTTTTAAATGGTTCCTGAGCCTAGAATATGGATAATTACCTCCTGTTTCTTGATACCCCGCTCCTTTTTTCCCTTGAGAAGGGGGGAGATGGGGATTTGGGGATGCCATTATTTTCCCCATGCCCCCATCCTCCCCTATTTGTTCTTTTTTTATTTTCCATTTACTGCACTATGGAGTGTACATGTGATCATAGGAGGCATACTTTTAATGTTGGGCTCTATTTCCAGTTACTGCCATTTATTGCCTCCCATGACCCCTGTGCTCAATATCTGGTGTTCTCAATGGATCCTCTCTTTCTGAGATTTCCAGAGGGACATGATTAAACTGGGGTTGTGGGGTAGAGGTGGGAAGGCCTGGAAAAAATGGAAAATCGGGTGGAAAAAAAACTTTTTCCCTTTTTCTCCATAGCCGTATTTTTGGATTTTTTTTTAGAATATTCAAATCTTACATTACGGGGCACTGCAGGAGAAAGGATCCAGTTTAGTTTGCTTGTGGGCTCCATCTTATACCTCTCATAGATCGGTGATTGTTGGTATACAGCAGATGATAGTTTCTGTCCTCTCAGGCTTTAATTGACAGTTAAGAGGGTGAGGCTGAAAAATTAGTTTATATTTATAACCTTTAAATGGTTCCATTATTGTTCTCCATCATCACAGCATAATATTTACCTATAGTCTGCTCAGTAAATTATTTTTCTTTTCTTTGTCTCAGTAAAATAGTGAGACCAACATTTAGAGTTTGAGAACATTTCCACAGTGCAATTTCTGCTCAGAGAAAAGCTGCAATTTGCAAGGATTGTGGGAAAAATTAGTCTTTTCCAAATGCTACAAGGATGACAAAACATGTCCTTGCATACCAAAGGTGCCCTAAAGACATTAAAAATACTTTAACAAATGAAATGATGAGGACCATCATGAAAGTGTAAGTAGATTTTCCCTGCAGAATTATGTTGCTTCTGGATTATCAGTGTTTCTTCACCAGCAGCATCTACAAGGAAGGAAGTATTGCTAACTACTGCCTCTAAAAAATACAGAATGCCTTCATTTATGGATAAAATGACACCTGAAAATCAGGAGAACATTGATCAAGCTCTTGCAAGAGCAATATCTGCTTCTGGATCAGCACTGACAACAACTGAGAAAGCATATTGGAAGAAAGCTTTTTAACTATTATGAGGAAAAGGGGGTGGTTACCTGTCCTTTTGTATAGTTAAAATGTTCTGAACATATACAGTCCTTGTTATTCCTTTTGTAATAAAAAATACAATTTAAAAAAGCAAGTTTAGTTTATTTACTGAATAAGCTGTACTTTTATTTCAAGGATAATACTTTTATATACATGATATTTCATGTTCCCAGTGTAACAAAATGACTTTCGATTTGTAAAACTACTCCACACTGAATTTTTAAAAAATATTTTGCAAAATTTCCATTTTTTCTGGAAAATGCAAGAAAAACATTTTTTCCCATGGGTCTCCCATTAGCTGAGAGCATGGAATTAGATCTGTGACCAAGCCCCAGTGAGCGGGGAGAAAAACACGTCAGAGGGCATGGTGAGTACGGCGGCTGTGGCCATTCCTCTACATTGGACTCCTGGGGTCGGTTGAGCAGCGTCCATCCCTTCACTAGCATGTAATGAGATGCTGAAGAATAGAGAACCATAACATGGTGGTCACACGACTTTTTTTAATTCACAAATAGTTGTGGCTAGCATTTGATTTGGCTTTGTGCATCAACAAAGTCATTTATTGCCATGTTATCAGTCGTGGTAGTTGTACGGCTTTGTCATGAGACCCTAATACTAATCCTAACATGGCAAATACATGACGTTGTTTTGTTACTAAATGGTTAAGATGAGCATTAGGGTTAAGTTTGACTTTGTTCAAGAAAACAATTTTAACACCATGTTCATGATAAGATGATGGTAACATGGCTTTGCAAGATAAACTCATGTTGTTTTTTTCAAAGCTATTTTATTTATAAATTCTGCATGGATAAACTTTAGGCTAATTCAAATAGAAATGTCAACACAGTGACTGATGTCAACTCCATTGACAACTGGAGCACCAGGCAATTCATCATACACATGTTAATGTATTTCAGTGCCATTCATTTTCAACACACTTCTGACACACATTCATTGCAGCACACCACAAAATCAAGTAATGTACGGCGAAGCAGTGTGGTGTGCTACATCCTAACAAAATTGCTGAATGACCATTTTTTTGTCTCTTCTCGTGCATTGGCATCCCATTCATTTAAATAGGCTCCTACAACAAAGCATAGGATAAAGGGTGACTTGGAACAGACAGGACTGACTGGTGTCAAGGCCTGGATGGCGGAAACCTTTACATCATCTTTCTCAGTCTTAGGCTCCATTCACATGGGGTGACTAGTTGCAAACCCAGGGTTGCATGGGAATGAACAGGTGTTGCGTGCATCCATATGCTGGCATCCCATTGTTGTCTATTGGGACACAAAGATGCATGGAGACAGGTGCTGTGTCCCAATATGACCTGTGGGTGCATGTGGTCTTTGAACGCACACAAAATTCACAGACCCGCATGCACCTGTCTGTCATAATGGGACAAAACGGCTGTGTCCGTGCAGCTGTGTGTACCAATAGATAACAATGGGACATCAGCATAGGGATTCACACAACACTCATGCATCCAGTGTGCCGGTAAAAGATGGCCCTGCAGGGGACATGCAGCTAACCACTTGCTCTCCAGAGGATTTACCCCTCTTTCTGACCAGGCCATCTTTTGTGATACAGAGCTCTGTTACTTTAACTGACAATTGCGCAGTCATGCAATGCTGTACATAAATAAAATTTATGTCCTTTTTTTCCCATAAATAGAGTGGTATTCGGTGGTATTTGATCACCTCTGCAGTTTTTATTTTTTTGTGCTATAATCAAATAAAGACTGACAATTTTGAGAAAAAAATCCCAATATTTTTGCCTTTTTTCTATAAAATATATCCAATAAAAAAAATCAAATTTCATCATAAATGTACGCCAAAATGTATTCTGCTACATGTCTATGCTAAAAAAAAATCCCAATATTTGTAAATTAATTGGTTTACGTGAAATTTGTAGCATCTACAAATGGAGGTATATATACTGGAATTTTTATTATTTTTTTTTTATACTAGTATTGGCAGAAATCAGCTACTTATAGTGGTACTGCAGGACTATGGCGGGCATTCTGACACTGGGTGGGAACTGACCAACAGCCACCAACATCCCCAGTGACGCTAATACAGTGATCAGTGCTAATAAAAAGCACTGACACTGTAGTAATGACACTGGGGAAGAAGGGGTTAACATCTGGGGCGATCAAAAGGTTAACTGTGTGCTGTGTGTGTTTTCTCATTATGTGCTGTGTTATGTTTTACAATGAAGACATGCTGCTTTGTATGTCTGTTATGCAGAGAAATACAAAGTAGCAAATCCTAGCTGACAGGAGAGAGACCTGTGTTGTTTACACACAGGTCTCTCCCCTGTCAGCTGTCCCTGATGATCACCAAGTGCCACCGGGGAATCACTGGCCGGGACCCAGTGATTGACATCTCTAGCCGCCAATGGAGGCACGGGTAGGGCGGCGTGCTCATGCCCGCTACCCAGAAATGCAAATCACGTATCTATACATGATTTTGCGCAGTCCTGCCGCCCTCTAGCAGTACTTCTACTATAGAGTGGCAGTCAAAAAGTCTACTTGGGGCTTAGCCAGAGCCTAGAAGTGCCAGCAAAAGCTATGGGTCTTGAAGACATGGTTTACTGTAAATAAAGAATAAGCATACAAATTCCGGCCAAATTTTTTAAATGTAAAATGATAGCAATATAATGTAGCAAATAAACAAACAAAGCCTGAAGGTACCTGGACCAACATGATCTAATAAGATTCAATATGCCATTATTTATTTGTCCTTTCAGAGTGCCATTTTCTGCATGTTTGCCAAGGGTAATAATTTTGGTCTCTATAATACCTAAAGGGAAATACCAAATCTAACCAGGTGGTGCAGGATTTAGCTGTTAATTACAACAAACAAAATTCAGCAATTGCAATAAATGATGCTGCTGAAAGCAGTGTAATTTCATACTTGAGTTATAATATTAAACTTTTCTTGATGTTTATAAACAAGCAGTTTTCTGCAGAAACATGGAATACTGGAATTTTTTAAATACCCACAGAGGTTATTTCAAATGACTTGTAGAGATTAGTATGGGCATGCCCCAATTGACAATAACATTATAACCTCTTCTGCAAAACCTGGAAGAAATCCAGCTATTAATTTACAAAGCTATCCCCTTAGCGCTCACTAGCACCTAAGCATAATTCAGTCTTACAATATTAATCCCAGCCATGAAAGAATTTGCAACACTCTGCCTAGCAACTGTGTCAATGTCTCTCCGGTGGACAATAAAAGGCTCTACCTATTGTCATACTATGCTACGTTGCATCAAAATGCTAACCAAAGAGTTCAGTTAAAGCAAACCTTGGAAAACTAGGCCAAGATTTAACCTCCCTGTAGTGCTAATTATATAAGCAAGAGCACTATGAAGACCCTGCATTGTAGATATCAAATTTACATATTCTAATTCTTATTGTCAGGTTAAAGAAAACCAAAAATTAACAATTGACTTTGTGTTTGCTACTTTTTTCTGCTCTTTTGTAATAAAAATGAAACGCTTACCAATTTCTGGGGAGTG